GGATGAGTTGTGTCCTTTGTAGGGACATGGATGCTGACTGGAAACCATCATTCTTAACTTAACTATCACAAGAACAGAAAACCAAACACCGCATGTTCTCTCATAGGTGGGAACTGAACAATGAGATCACTTGGATGGAGAACATCACACCGGGACCTATATATCATGAGGAGGAGGGATTGCATTGGGAGTTATACCTTATGTGTGGCAGGTTGATAGATTTACAGCACCAACATGGCACAAGTATACATATCTGTAAACCACACGTGTGTGCACATGTACCCCTACAACAGAGTTTAATAATAATAAATAAATTTAAAAAAAAAAAAAAAAAAAAAAAAGAAATAATTCAATTCAAAAAACGGGATTTTAGATTTCTCATATAAGTAGATCATGCATTATATGTTCTGTGTCTGGCTTATTTCACTTAGCATACAGTCCTCTGGGTTCATGCATGTTGTCACAAATAGCAGTGTGAAGAAAAATAGAATCTTAGGACCCCAAACTCCCATTACACCAAGGAAAGTTAATCTTGAGACCAGAGGCACCAATACTGTCTTCCTTTTGTTCCCAAACAGAAAATGGTAATTTCATAACCCTGTGTCATAACCTCATTTCCTCTACTCTTTCCTCTTTTCACATGTTTACTTAAGTTTATACCAAGATGTAGATTTACTGAGCATAGATACTTAATAATCAACTTTTTCCTCTCTCTCTTTTCTGATGAAATGCAGATTCCTGAAGCTAATCAAAGACTCATGGGAATGTAACCACTTGTGTCATGGCCTACTCTCCCCTCTTTTTGTTCTCCTTCCCCTCCTGCTTGCTCTTTCTCCTTTAAACACTGAAAGTTCTCAAAATTCTCTTTGGCAAAAACATGGATCACAGATGCTCCTGTAATTTGCTTTTCCCAGCTGTATTCCTCAACCTTGGCAAAATAAACCTTTAATTAGTTAATAATCAACTTTTTCCTCTACTCTCTTTTCACAAGTGAAATGCAGATTTACTGAAGCTAATCAAAGACTCAGGAATGTAACCACTTGTGTCATGGCCTACTCTCCCCTCTTTTTGTTCTCCTTCCCCTCCTGCTTGCTCTTTCTCCTTTAAACACTGAAAGTTCTCAAAATTCTCTTTGGCAAAAACATGGATCACAGATGCTCCTGTAATTTGTATTTTTCCCAGCTGTATTCCTCAACCTTGGCAAAATAAACCTTTAATTGACTGAGACCTACCTCAGTCACTTCTTGACTTGCAACAGCATTTCCTTCTTTTTAAAGCCTGAATAGGATTTAATTGTGTATTCGTACTATATTTTCTTTATCCATTCATCTGCTGAATGACACAGGTTGATTCTATACCTTGACTATTGTGAATAATGCTGCAAGCAACATAGGAGTATAGGTATATTTTCAAGATACTAATTTTAAATTCTTTGTCTACATCCTGCATATGGGATTACTACATCATATGATAGTTCTGTTTTTACTTTTTGAGGAACTTCCACTTTGTTTTCTATAACGGTTGTACTAATTTACATTCCCACCAACAGTGTGCAAATATTTCCTTTTGTCTACATCCTTAACACTTGTTATCTTTTGTCTTTTTGATAATAGCCATTCTGACAGATGTGAGGTGATGTGTCAGTGTGGTTTAAATGGAATATCTTAAGTTTTCCTATCTGAGGATATAAGAGTACTCTCCCCCAAATATTACTGTTAATGTTGCTGTTTCGCATGAACCATGGCCTTGAGCTGAGTTCTTGGACACATGAGTTCTTGAGGACTTGGATATGGGTTTAAGTACTCAAGAACTATATATATTTTTATGTGGCTGAATATTAGGGCCTGTCTTTACTGGTAAGAACTTATAGAAAAAGGAGACATTATAAAGATCTCACAAAGAGATATTTAAGTTTTTTTTTCTGGGAATGAAGGAACATGGTGACCACTAATCTAGAGGCTGGGGGAAGAGCTGTCTCTGGAAATATCCCAGGTATCACTAGGGAACCAGAAGTAGAGACAAGCAGAGGTGTGCTGGAAAGAGTGACATGTGTAGGTTAGCTCTGGGTGGTTTAATCACCAGTGGTCCAACTGAGGCGATGTGTGAATGAGGAGATTGACAGGAAGAAGGAACCTGAAAAGATAGATTGGGAAACAAAGCTTCATTGTACAGCGTAACTGCAGGTAGCTTGGTTTTCGTCCCAGTCTTCTGTCTTCAAGGGCTATTTTCATACAGCATGAGGAGCCATGGGACTAGTGAGATCTGGGCTTCTGTGCCAAGATCACCCATATTCCTCATTTCCCCTGAAACGTTCCAAATACCTTGTATCAACTGATTTTCTATCTTCCTGCTAAAGCTTTTCCCATGCTCCTACTCCTTCACCCTCCATCATCTTCCAATTCTTATCTGACTTCCACCCTGGAGTTTCACCATGGCCACTTGCTTGTGGGAGCCACTGTCTGAACACAGCCCCTGAATGCTACTGATTTGGCTCTTTCTTCAGATTCTCTAGACTAAGATTTTAAAGAGATAACTTTGTGCCAAGAGAAAGGACCTAGTTAATATGTGCCATGAAAAATTCTTATATATAACTGGTTACCTAGGAGTTGATATAAAAGAAATATGTAAGTGGCTTCACAAAAATTTTGAAAAATTTAGGGATAATTGCTTGATAAATTTTAATTAAAGGAAACCAATATTCTGGGAGCAGCATTTCTAGTTACATTACCATTGGCATTAAGGAGGCCACAGAACCTTTCAGAATACACAGTGATTCTTGATTTCTGAAGTAAATGCAGGATAGGGTCCTGGATGGTCCTTCTGATGACAGGATGACTCCTATGTTCACATTCAACTCTGCTGACCAAGCACAGATTCCAAGAGATGCTAACCAGGGAAGATGATTTCTCCCTTGATTCCACAAAGGAGTCCATGACTTTTTCTTCCGCCCTGAAATAAAAGAGAATGTCCCTTGAAGACAGTCTCCCTACTGTAACCCTGACCCTCCCTACTAATGGCAATGTCTTTTTAGCCCATTTACCCACATGGGGTAAATGCTCTAATTGCTCTGCCCCCACAGAGGCTGGACAGGCGATTCAGGTGAGACACTCAGAATAAGGATGCTTGACCTAGTTTCTTTCTTCTCTGGCCTTCTTCTGCCTGAATGCCCTGAATAATGCAGCAAGGATACAGCCAGGGTAGACAACTGTAGAGAAGGCTGGGTCAGGCAGACACAGCTGGCAGAAGCCCGAAGCAAAACTTTTCCAGTGAGGTTTTAGCTAATCAGAAAAGGACTCTAAAGTGACACTTGTTGCTAGCTGAAAAGTCTGTGCGAAGAGGCCTGTGAGACTGGGGAATCCCCAGATCTGATGCAGCCTTTGCCTCAGAATAAACCTGTGGGAAGTTTTCCCCTTAGACAAGAAGGAGAGGATGGATTAGAGGCCTCTATTCTGAGGGACATTGAGGTGGGGGCTGAGGAAGGACATTGAGGGCACCTTCAGGTCTCTCTGCCTATTCTTCCTTGCCCCAACTCCATTCCAGGTGTGAGTATGGTTCCTCCTTTATGCGCCCATCACAGCAGCGGAGACCCTCCTTAGACTGGGTTTACCCTGATCCTGAGCACACCACTGCTGCTGCACGCCCAGTGGCAACTTTCCCAGTCTCAGGAGCTCTAGAATTCTGCATTGAATATAATACAGAACATTGGAGTGGCTCAATACTTTCATGTGCCACTATTGCAAACCTCTTGCTGTTGCCTCTTTCTTCTTTTTACCTGGCAAACTTATATTCTGATTTTAGATTGTATTCTCTACTTTAAAACCAGAACCTAAAATTTCGGGAAGAGAAAGAGAGAAAGGGAGAGAAGAAGAGAGGCGGAGATATTTACTGTTTTGGTTGAGGTCAGAAGTAATGTTTGCCAGACATTGTTCTAATTGCTTTATAACCATTAGTACTGTCCCTAGTCACTGGCAAGAGCAGCCTGATAAGTTATAAGTTTATTTATAAAAACACATGATGTGGATATGTCCATAAGGAACTGTTAAATAGAAAAAAAAATAGAATTGAAAAAAACACAATGATACTTCTGCCATTTGGGATTTGATGTTTAGGGCTGGTACAGTAGAATCTGTGAGTCTAAACACTTTCTCCATCATTAATACTATTCAGAACCTAAGAAATACTTCTCTACAGCTTTTGCTCTGTCTCTTCAAAAATAACCATGACTGTGTCTGAATACTGTAAAGGTTTGTGTATTGTGCCTTTGCTGATATCAGATGCACCTATTTCATGGTTCGGGGAGGATTTAAACAGACGAAGAACTTAAAAAAGAAAAGTCAACTTAATTGATTTTTCAAATACTTTCACTTGAAGAGCATAAATACAATATATTCTTGCATAACGAAGAATCATGTACCAGCAGGGGTGGGTGTCAATTTTTTTTTTTTTGGCTTGTTTTCTTGTTCCACATATTAACCTGATAGTTACTCATAACAGTTGAGGAGCCTTTTGTAATATTAAACAAGACAAATTAATCTTAAATTTGTATATGTGAAGATCTAGATGTAACATGCATGAAACATGACCCACATTTTACAAAGAGAAGCTTGGGGCGAAAATAAATTCAGTAGTTTGTTGACTCTCCTAAAGCACATTAGTGGTGGAACTGCAACTCACCATTATTTCCTTCTAAGAACTTTGCTCTTCTCACCAAAGCTTAAGGCTCTTCGGGGGTCTGAGACAACAGCAGTAAAAATTTCTATAACAGCAATTTTCTCTCCCCTGAAATACGATCACCACTTAATTTGCTTTTTAAAAAATCCCAAGTATAATAACTGGTTTTTAATCAATATTACAGAGATGTTTACTGTTGAATCGCATTTATCTTTTGCCTCTCAAAGTCCCTGAGGCATCCAATCTTCAGTTCTTCTATAATTGAGAGGAAATTTTCGCCTCAAATGTTCATCCAGTGCAGTTTGAAGACGTCACTGTGCCAGGCACTGGATTGAGAACCTTCACACAAAAAATGTCTGCCCAGAGACAGATGAGGTCCTTCAGCTCCAGTGCTGATTGGTTCTTTTTCAAGGGACCATCCAATCCTACCACGCACGGAAAATCCACAGGTTTTTGTTCTTTCTGCCAGGTACAGCAGATCCATCAGGTCCGAGCTGTGTTGACTACCACTACTTTTCCCTTCGTCTCAGTTATGTCTTGGAAGAAGGCTTTGCGGATCCCCGGGGGCCTTCGGGCAGCAACTGTGACCTTGATGCTGGCGATGCTGAGCACCCCAGTGGCTGAGGGCAGAGACGCTCCCGGTAAGTGCAGGGCAGCTGCCCTCCAGAGTCACCACTCTGGGAACAGGCTGTCCTTGGGCTGGGGTATAGGGGATGGTGATCTCTGTGATCTCGGACACAATCTTTCATCAACATTTCCTCTCTTTTGGGAAAGAAAGTTATGTTGCATTCCCATTTATCTTTTAGTGATGAGGTGAGTACAATCCAATCCCCATCCTACAGGCTTAAGCCTGGAAGAGGAGGAGAGAGGAGAGAGGAGGAAAGAGGAGATAAAGTGTACATTTACTACCAGTGATAGAACAAAGTGAGCATGGGGTTGTTTTTGAAGACATGAATTTCTCCAAAGACACAGTAGGATTTGTCATTTCATCATGCCCTAAGACTTTGCCTGGACTAAATATTATGAGATCCTGCACTGGGAAATGTAAGGCAGCAATGGTGTCCGTAGTCTCCGTATTTGAGGAAAAGAAGTCTGTATTCCTGACTGACTGGAGCGTTTGTGGAGACAAAATCTTGGTACTGAGGGAAGCTGACTGGCTGACCACAGACAGGGAGTCTTCAGGTTTCACTGATTTATGGGCAAATAGTGACTTGAGTGGGGTTCAGAGACCCGAGTTGATGGTGGACTAAATTTAGTAGAAAGGAGGATGTAAAGAAGGGAAATAACACATATTGTGAAACCACTCATTTCAGACACAGAACAATACTTTACATAAATTCTCTCACTCCTTCTAACATCCTGTGTGTAGATACGATTTTCTTTTACACAATTATACTTGTGATATGGATATTCTGTTACATAACCTGCCCAAGCTGGTGACTGCCACAGTTTAATTGGAATCTAGTTTATCAAATTCAAAAGCTTGTGCTCTTTTCATGAATAAATGTTTCTATCTAGGACTCAGAGGTGTAGGTCCTTTCTAACATAGAAGGGAGTGAACTTCAATGAGACTTGGGAGGGTAAATCTAGGCATGGGAAGGAAGATATTTTACCCAGGGACCAAGAGAATACGCGTATCAGAACGAGGACAGGCTTAATTCCTGGATCTATCTCATCATTCCGTTGAACTCTCAGGTTTATGTGGATAACTTTATCTCTGAGGTATCCAGGAGCTCTATGAAAAATGGGATTTCATGCGAGAACGCCCTGATCCCTCTAAGTGCAGAGGTCCATGTAAAATCAGCCCAACTGCCTCTTCCCTCGGTTCACAGGCTCAGGCTGGGACAGGGTTTTCCTCCCTTTCCTGGATGTAGGAAGGCAGATTCCCGAAGCCCCCAAAGAAGGCGGGCAGAGCTGGGCAGAGCCGCCGGGAGGATCCCAGGTCTGGAGCGCCAGGCACTGGCGAGCGGGAACTGGAGGTCGCGCCGTCGGTTCCACAGCTCCAGGCGGGTCAGGGTGGCGGCTGCGGGGGCGACCGGGCTGGGGCCTGACTGACCTGCCGGTGATTCCCCACAGAGGATTTCGTGTACCAGTTTAAGGGCCTGTGCTACTTCACCAACGGGACGGAGCGCGTGCGAAGTGTGACCAGACACATTTATAACCGAGAGGAGTACGTGCGCTTCGACAGCGACTGGGGGGAGTACCGCGCGGTGACGCCGCAGGGGCGGCCTGACGCCGAGTACTGGAACAGCCAGAAGGACGTGCTGGAGAGGACCCGGGCGGAATTGGACACGGTGTGCATGCACAACTACGAGGTGGCGTACCGCGGGATCTTGCAGAGGAGAGGTGAGCATCGTCGCCCCTCCGTGAGGCCCATCATCGGCCAAGGCCCCGAGTCTCTGTGCCGGGAGGGGCGATGGGGCGCGGCCTCTGAAATCTGAGATCCGTTCATTCCATCCCAGGGGACAGGAGGCGGCGGCGGGGCCGGGTTGGGGGTAGGTGCGTCGGAGGGGCAGGACCTAGGGCAGAGCAGGGAGCAAGCAGAGTTGGCCAGGCTGCCTAGAGTCCCCCCAGCCTCCCCGTCCGTCAGCCTCGTCCTCTGCTCCGCAAGTTTCTCCCCTCGTGCCTTATGCGTTTGCCTCCTCGTGCCTTGCCTTTGCTAAGCAGTTCTCTCTGCCCCGAATGCCCACCCTCTTCCCCTGCCCACCTGCTCCGCTAACACTGCCCCACCCAGCAAGGTCCACATGCGCAGCTCGCGCGGCAGGAAGCTTCAGGCTTGGCCTGGTGGCGTTAGGGCTGCGCCACAACTGCACGCAGGGCATCCAGCAGTTACAGTTGTGAAATAAGATATTTTGACTTTTTGGCTTCAAATCATTATTTATCGTAATTCTGTTTTCTTAAATGGCTATCACTAATGGCGGAGGTCTTCAAGGCGAGAGACCGTTTAAATTCTTGTATGCCTGGTACCTGACACATTGACTGGTATTGTGGTATGAGCTCAATGATCTTCTGTTAAATTCATGAATAAATGTACTCAGCTGCCAATCCATTTAGGTTCAAGAAAAACAGAGGCTTAAAAATGGACTTTATTAATTATTGTCTATCATTTTGCTTAATTCTTTAAAGTAAACTCTTGTTGACTTGGATATTAACAGAGTTTGTGAATACAAAGTCTGAGGAAAAAAGTGTTTGCTAAAAATAAAAACAATGCTTGAATGATGTTGTAAGGCAGAGTTTTAATTTCTTAGAAAAGCTGAACAAATGGCACAATGCAAAGAGCAGAAGTTTGGGAATAAATAGATTGAAGCCATTAAATTATTGGATAAAAATAGTTTCAGATTGCTTTTGGCCTAGGTTATCCCCTCCCCACGTCACTATCCACTTCAGGAATAAACATTATGAAAGTCAGTTTTACCCATTTAGTGAGCACTTATTTCTAGACAGTTGCCTTGTCAAATGCCATATATGTTATGTCATTTAATCTCACAGTTACCTGTGCATTAGAGATTAGTATCACCACTTTATATATCCTAATGTTGGTACATGATAAACACTTTAAGTAATCAACCCACAATTACTCACCAAGACCTTAAGCCTCCCAAAGTATACAACATTCTTTATGTTCCTCACTATACCTCTATAGAGTCTAAGGGATGTAAGGCCTTGTTAAAGTCAGTTTTGACTAGAAGCAGCAATGAGTCTATTCCTGTTTGTTCTCCGTGTTAATGGGACAAAAATGATACTTTCAAGGCATTGGAAATTCACTGATTAATCAATCCCTAGTCTGACTCCAGTGTTATCTATGCAGGTTCACAAAACTTATAGTTTACTTTATACTCCCTTGCGTTCATTTGACTCACATCCTAATGGCAGCAAGTACTTATATTTTTGCTACTTCAGTTCTATTTCCATAAAATATATTTTATCATATTTTCTCATAAATTTGTGCCCTCTATTTTTACTCCCAGTGTGTAAGATGAACAAATCTTATAAAGCCGCATAGCTGACTGTGATTTCAGTTGAACTCCAGGAAGGAGAACCTAAAGAAAAGTTCAAGTCCAAGCAGAAACCGTGATTCCTTCCAGATGATGGCTCGAGAGTGCTGTTTAATTGGGGTGCAACTTGCTGACCTTAGCAAATCCCAGTAATATGTATATGTTCACATTAAAGGCTCATTAACCCAGGCCGACCTCTGCACGGATCTCAGAATATTTTCTATGGAGAACATACATGTTAATGTCTGATTTCAGAACAAGAAAGTAATTCTCAATAGCAAGGAAATGGAGTAGGATAGGCAGCTAGTAATTAAACTCACCTGTGTGTTAAAAAGAAACTAAGAAAAAAAGAAAATGAGAGAACGTATTACTAAATAAAAAAACACACATTAAATATTTGTTATAGTTTCACACTAAGAGAATAAAGGAAATGCAATAAAGCGGCCTGAAAGGTAAAGGATGAGATTTGTAAAGAGGCGGGGAAAGATGTGTCATTTTTTTTTACTATGAGCAGCAATCTGAGAAGATAAAGGAATCGAGTTATGGGCAAACATGATGTTTGATCAGTGTTATTTGTTTTGAAGACCTGCCTGCTTTTTTTTCCCAAATATTACAAATTTTTGAAATAACATTCTTTTTGTTTTTTGCTGTCTGTTACTAGATTGCACATTTTATAAAGGCAGGCACCATGGTATGTTGTTTATCTTTGGATTCTTAGTGATTGTCAAATTTATGTTTGTTGAATGAACCTTAATCCAAGACTTGGACTCCAGGTATCTTTCCACTCTGGTTCCAAGGAGGGACCCTTCCCCATGGTAGACGTGCTGTGTGATCTCACATCTCACTTCTATGTCTTTTCCTGTCTGTTACTGCCCTCAGTGGAGCCCACAGTGACCATCTCCCCGTCCAGGACAGAGGCCCTCAACCACCACAACCTGCTGGTCTGCTCGGTGACAGATTTCTATCCAGGCCAGATCAAAGTCCGGTGGTTTCGGAACAATCAGGAGGAGACAGTCGGCGTTGTGTCCACCCCCCTCATTAGGAACGGTGACTGGACCTTCCAGATCTTGGTGATGCTGGAAATGACTCCCCAGCGTGGAGACGTCTACACCTGCCACGTGGAGCACCCCAGCCTCCAGAGCCCCATCACCGTGGAGTGGCGTAAGGGGATATTGAATTTCTGTTACTATGGGCCCCACAAGACAAACAGCTCCTTCTGATCCATCCCTTCCCATCTCTTATCCCTGATGTCACTACTGAGCTGGGAATCACAGGAGACTAGAGCACCTCTAGCTCCCTGGCAAGCACATCAGAAGAATCCTGATCTCATCACCTTTCCAGATGCTAGGGAAATTACTCTATGTACTGTTGCTCTGGATCCCAGTCCTGATAGCTCTGAGGGACTGATTCTTAGGGCTGGTGATTGAGATCTTAGGGTCTAAGGTTATGGATGAGTTCCTGAGGAGCAGAGATTTGCTTCCCCACTCTCTCACCTACTCACTGTATTCAAGGACCTATTGGCTGGTCTTTCCCTCCCTTAGGGGTGGTCTGAATGGAGAACTAGGTTCCTTTGATGCCTTCACCTCCTGCATCTCAGACTGGACTTCAGCTCCTCAGCAGGGATGCTATGGGGTGTGGGGACAAACACTAACACTCAGGCTTTGCTTCTCAGGGGCTCAGTCTGAGTCTGCCCAGAGCAAGATGCTGAGTGGCATTGGAGGCTTCGTGCTGGGGCTCATCTTCTTTGGGCTGGGCCTTATCATCCGTCAGAGGAGTCAGAAAGGTGAGAAACCCCAGGGGAAAAGGGGAAGATGGGCTGCGATCCAGATCCTTTGTTCAGAGATATCCTGTCTCTAGATGTAGCTCTTTCCTCCTGACCCTGAGAGGAAGAAGGCTGGGCTGGAGGTGGGAGGAGACAGGACAAGATTGGAGGAGGCATTGGAATCTGATTTTACTGGTTGAAAGGCTGCCCTGTCACAGAGCTGACTGATAGAGCTTATTCCAGGGCGTCCTTACCGTTCATCATTGTCTCACTGGCTCCTTTCCAAAAGCTTCCTCCATGAAGAGGATCAGAGCCTCGGCCTCCTTGCCTTCTAGTGACAATTTCCTTTGTTTCAGGGGATTTTCAATTAAGGTGCTTAAGGCATTGAAGAACATGGATGGGAAGAGAATATAACTCTAATTAAGTCACGTGTCATTTTCCTTTGGGGTGAGAGAGTAGCTGTTAGTGTATTGAGACCTTTCTCTGCATAACCTCCTTTTGTAGGACCTCAAGGGCCTCCACCAGCAGGTACTATTTCAGCCATGATCCAGTGATCCGGGGAGGGCACAGGTGTAAGAGGGAAGAGCATGAGCTGAGTGGACCTGACCACAGTGGTCTCTGTTCATGGCCTATTTGCTGCTATGAGGATCAAGACTTAGGTGAGGTTGGCCAGTTTCTGGGAATCTCCATAGGTTGTTTCCCAGAACCAAGCCTTAACTTTGGTAGCATCTTCTTGTGAAATGTGGAGCCAGAACCACAGCTTAAATGTTAGACACTAGGATGATGCCCACTTTGTGCCACATTTTGGTGGCTCCTGCCTGTAGGCATTTTCCCGTGACTGAAAGAGGCCACTAGTGGTGGAGATTAGGTATCCAATTTCCTAAAAAGACTGAACCCTTCATATTCCCCAGAAGAATAACAGCTATTTCCCTACTTCCTACACATCTGCATCAAGCTGAAGTTCTGTGTCCTCATGAGCTGATTTTACCTTTTTACAGATCTTGGAGGAGGTGATGTATCTTCCTTATCACATCATCACCCTGGACCTCAGATTTCTCTGTCTGAAGCTGCAGGGGGCCCCTGAGGGGTGGGGGAGATGGCAGGCCTACCAGCGTGCCCTGTGCTGATCATCCCTCTTCTCTCTTCTCCAGGGCTCCTGCACTGACTCCTGAGACCATTTTAACTGGTTATCACTCTTCTGTAATGCCTGCTTGTCCCTGCCAAGAATTCCCAGCTGCCTGTGTCAGCCTGTGCCCCTGAGATCAGAGTTCTACAGTGGCTGTCATGCAGCCACCAGGTCATCTCCCTTCATCCCCACCCCAAGGCACTGACTGTGACTCTGCTTCCTGCACTGACCCAGAGCCTCTGCCTGTGCATGGCCAGCTGCGCCTACTCAGGCCCCAAGGGGTTTCTGTTTCTATTCTGTCCTCAGACTGCTCAAGAGAAACACATGAAATCCATTACCTGACTTTAGAGCTTTTTTACGTAATTAAACATGGTCCTGAGTTATCTGTATTCTGAACTTCCTTAATTCAGCAGAGGCAGGAAATCACTGCAGAATGAAGGAACAGACCTTGAGGTGACCCAGCCTACCTGTGGCCCGGAGGGCTGTACCTTGAAAAGACACTGAAAGCATTTTGGGGTATGAAGTCAGGGTGGGCAGAGGAGGTAGAAAATCAATTCAATTGTCATATCATTCATGGTTTTTTAATATTGATGTTCAGTGCAGTGGCCTGAGAATATCCCAGCCTCTCTTCTGGCTTGGTGAGTGCTGTGTAAGTAAGCATGGTGGAATTGTTTGGGGACATATATGGTGATCCTTGGTCACTGGTGTTTCAAACATTCTGGAAAGTCACATCGATCAAGAATAATTTTTATTTTTAAGAAACAAAACCAGCAATAAAAGTACTATTTTTGAGTCTAAATGATAGAATCCCAAATATATTTTGTTCATGGTACAAAGGAAGCCTAGAGTCAAGCAGATTTCAGAATTGACTAGTTTCAGATATTCAATGAGATCTTCACCTCTCTGTTATATCTCTATCTGGGCATCTGTTTCTCTTTCTCTGTGTCTCTTTGTCCCTGTATAGTTCTTTCTGCATGTCTCTCTGCATCTTTGTCTCTGTCCCCTTGTTGTGTCTTTCACTACATTGTTGCCTTTCTATTTTTCTAATCCATTGTCACTGTTTATCTGCATTTTTTTCTATCTCCATGTTTCCTTTTGCATCTACTTTTCTGCATTTCTCTTCCTTATCACTTCTCATCTTATCTCTGTGTGTGTGTGTGTGTGTCTGTTTGTCTGTCTCCATTATATATGTTTCTAGAATGTCTACCAGAGTTTTAACAACTGTAGGAAAGATTCTGATTGGCCAAGCCTGGGTAACGTGCACACCTCTCACACACACCGTCCTGTGCATGGGAGGCTGACAGCCAGCATTGTGTCCATCCCTCTTATTAGGAAGAAGGACTGGATTTTCCAGATCCTTGCAATCCTGGAAATGACTTCCAGTGTGCAGATGTCTACACCAACCATGTGGAGCACCTCAGCCTCCAGAGCCTCCTCACAGTGGAGGGGTGTAAGGGGCAGTTTGTTTCTTGTGGAGCCCACAGGACAAATGACAGAGCTCCCTCTGGTTCTAGGGTCCTTCACTGGGAGTACCTGTTCACAGTCATTCCATTCCTTGTCTGAGCTCCCTTTGTCATTGACATAGTAACCTGTTGATTCCTGATGACACTCTCTTCCCAGTTATGAGGAAGGTGACTACACACTGTGGCCCCTTTGATGTCGGCCCAGCCCTGAAGCTCTCAGTCTCTGAGTTTCGTCATGAAGACAGAGTCTGGGAGCTTGTGCAAAGTTATGTAAGGCCGTGACTCTGAAAGCAGACATCCCATCTTCCTTTCTCCCTCACCCACACACTGGGCCTGAGGAGTCTTTGGCAGGCATTTCCTTCTTATGGACAAGGTCAGAGTGGAGAACTAGGTCTCCTTGGGACATTCATCTCGTATACTTCAGGCTGTCATGCAGGTCCTCAGACAGGGACTCTGGCACACAAAGAGGCACCAACACTTGAGATTCTGCTCCCCAGGGTTATAGTATGAATTTTCCCCAAGCAAAATGCTGAAAGGAGTCAAAAGTTTTGTGCCATTTTTGTCCTCTTCCTCGGGGTGGGCACTGGCATTCACCACAGGGATCAAAAGGGAGTGATGCTTTTGGGGAAATGGGGAAGGCATGTGCTGGGTTGTCCAGGGTGTCCTCAGTCTCTATGTGTAGCTCCTGGCTTTTGACCCTGCAAAGGGAAGAGGCAGGGCTGGGGATTGAACCAGACTCAAGTTTAGGGAGACATTGAGATCTGAGTTTTCTAGTTGAAGCATAAGCCCTATAATCCAGTTGGGTAGTAGATTATATTCTAGGACATTCTTACAGTTCAACATCTTCACATTGATGGAAGAGTCTTTATTAATGAAAGGGTCAAAATCTTCTCTTTCTTCCACTGACACTTTCAGAGAAACAACTATTTTTTTGCACCCAAATTTCACTGGATCGTATGATCTTTAATGGATAATTTAATTAAAATGACAAATATATCCTGTAAAGAACTGAGTCTCAGCATATAACTTGGAGGAAAGTGTGTGGGTGTTCTAGAGAAAAACTTACCAGTCTTGAGTATTTGTCCTTACCTTAGATAATAACAGTATATCTTTTGGAGACAGTGGTGCTCGCCAATATTCCAAAGCTCCTGTATATTTCCCAGTCTTTTCTGCTGTTAGGTTGGGGTCATTTGACTGACACTAGCCAATAGAACTTGCCAATAGGTGCAAGATGGTGTATGAGATGCTGGAAACTCCATAACCCAAGTCACTTGAATAACTGTAGAATTAAGTCTCCTTACTGAGTTAAGCCACTAAGATCTACTTTTTACTGTGGGTTAAGATCTTATTGCAACATAGCCTTGCCCTTCCTGATTATCATTAAATGTTGAACTTAAGGAACAGAGTTCTTAAGTTAATAGAGTGAATCAGTTGAGTTAATGGAAGTTAAGAGATGATTCTTAAAAACAAAAAAATTAAAAAACTGAAAACTTTATTTGAACAAGAAAAAGTTAAGAATGTTGCACTTCAAAAGAATTTTAAATTCATTAATTATTTTTAATTGACAAATAACTGCATTTATAGGGTACTATGTGACTTTTTGATGCATGTGATTAAACTAGGCTAATTAAAATATCCATCACTTCACTTTTTTTGTGGTATGAATATTTAAAATCTCTCTTAGCAATTTCCCTTTTTTTTTTGAGACAGAGTCTCACTCTGTCACCCAGGCTGGGGTGCATTGGTGCCATCTCCACTCACTGCAACCTCCGCCTCTGGGATTCAAGCAATTCTCCTGCCTCAGCCCCCAAGTAGCTGTGACTACAGGCATGTGCCACCATGCCCGGCTAATTTTTGTATTTTTAGTAGAAACAGGGTTTCACCATGTTGCCAGGCCGATCTCACACTCCTGACCTTAGGTGATCCACCTGCTTTGGCCTCCCAAAGTGCTGGGATTGCAGGCGTGAGCCACCACGCCCGGCTGCAGTTTTCAAATATGCAATACAGTTGGCCTTTTGTATCTGTGGGTTCCACATACTCTGATTCATTCAACTGTGGATTGAAAATATTTAGAAAAAAATGAAAAATAACAATATAACAATAAAAATAATTCCAGTTCAAAAACAATACAGTATAACAAGTATTTACATAGCATTTACATTGCATTGGATATTATAAGTAATCTAGAGATGATTTAAAGTATATGGGAAGATAGGCTTAGGTTATATGCAAAAACTACGCCCTTTTTTATAAGGGACTTGAGCATTCTCAGATTTTGGTACACAGAGAGGGTCCTGGAACCAATTCCTCATGGATACCGAGGGATGACAATAGATTATCATTAACTGTAGTCACCATGCTGTACAATCGATCTCCAGTACTTACTCCTCCTGTCTAACTGAAACTATGTACTTTTATTTATTTATTTATTTTGAGACAGGGTCTAGTTCTGGCTGGAGTGTAGTGGTATGATCACAGCTCACTGCAGCCTTGACTTCCCAGGCTCAGTCTGTCCTCCCACCTCAGTCTCTGGAGTAGCTGGGACTACTGGCATGTGCCACCATGCCTGGCTAATTTTTGTATTTTTGTAAAGACAGAGTTTCACCATGCTGCCCAGCTGGTCTTGAACTTCTGGGCTCAACCAACCCACCTTCCTCAGCCTCCCAGAGTGGGGGGATTACAGGCATAAGCCACCATACCCTGCCCTTCTTTGTACCTTTTGACCAACGTTTTCTCATTCCTCCTTGCCCTGCTCCCTACTACCCCCACTCCCCCACCTGCCATGATTTTGACTTTTTTAGATTCTACATGTCAGTGAGGTCATGCGGTATTTGTCTTTCTATGCATGGCTTATTTCACTTAACATAATGTCCCCCAGGTTCATCCATGTTGTAAATGATGTAGAAGATTTCCTTCTTTTATAAGGCTGAATAGTATTCTATTGTGTATGTAGACCAGTTTCTTTTTCTACTCATCTGCTGATAGACACTTAGGGTGATTCCATCTCTTGGTCATTGTGAGTAGTGCTGCGATGAACTTGGGAGTACAGATATCTCTTTGATACACTGATTTCATTTTCTTTGAAGATTTACCCAGGAGTGAAATTGCTGGATCATGTGGTAGTTCTATTTTTAATTTTTAAATAGATGATGAATTTTAAAAAACATTTGTCTGGACCGGGCACATTGGTTCACGCCTGTAATCCTAGCACTTGGGAGGCCGAGGCGGGCAGATCACCAAGTCAAGAGTTCAAGACCAGCCTGGCCAACATAGTGAAACCCCATCTCTACTAAAAATACAAAAATTGGCCAGGTGTGGTGGCACATGCCTGTAGTCCCAGCTATTCGGGAGGCTAAGGTGGGAGAATCGCTTGAACCCGGGAGGCGGAGGTTGCAGTAAGCTGAGACCACGCCACTGCACTGCAGCCTGGGTGACAGAGTGAGACTCTGTCTCAAAAATAAC